AAGTACAGCCAAGCTAACACTGAGTTTGTTTTCTTCAAGTCCTGAACACACAGAGATCCTAGTCCTGATTTACATGTGGACACACCTAGAACCTCTGAGGATTTAATCTCTCACTTTGGCAGCAAATGGTAACAAAATGGATTTTTTTTTTCCTGGAAAGATTAGGGGGCCATAAAAACCAGGAATCAGAATCAAACAAAAGGTAGACTATACTAAACTATCTGCAAATTTTAGCAAACAGAAGTTGAAGTGACTTTTGTGCAAATTTGATGACAGGACATTATTCAACCAGCAGAAATGTAGGACACTGGCATCCTGACTTCTAAGCAGGGTCCCTCTTTCCTCTGTCACATTCTTGCCTTCTCTGTTTTCCTCAGAAGCAGACACCTGGGGAATCCCGAAGATTCTAGTACCACTGTATAACCCTCATTTACTAATTATGTGAATAAGAAGACGTTATTAACCTGAGTCTCATTTACCTGTCTAAAGAAAGGAAAGACAAGAAAGAAAACTCTGATGCAGTTGACAGGAATAAAAAGATTTATGAATACCAGTGACAGAAACACACAGATCACATTCCAGAATTATGCTTAGGGTGCAGGTATTCTCACCTCAGGTACATGGTGGAATTAAGTGGGGGACTTACATGTGGGTCAGCTAGACTTAAGCAGCCTGTTTGGCCTCCAGTCTTTGTTTCAGCCACCTACACTACTGCATTCCTATGCAATGTCAGACTGTCTGGTTAATTAGTCATAAGAGCCAAACCTTATAAGCTGCCTTTCAAACCAATCAAGATCAGAAAACTTGATCATTCTTAGAAGGGTATGCATCATGAAATATGACTGGGAATGCCTAGGGGCAGGCGAAGGACCAATTTATGACAAGGGACCTCAGAAGCTGATCAGTGGAATGACTTGATAAGATTAGAACCATGGCCAGGGGGTCTGGAGTAAGTTTCGATTACAACACTTGGTCATCAAGCAGATAAGAATTATCTGGCCAGCAGACTCATGTCCCCCTAGATAACAACAGCACATTCTTTAATTTCACCCATTTTTTTTCTCTTTGTCCTCCTACCACACATACCTAATGTATGAATATTCTGAATAAAAAGGCCAAGATCTTGCTTGTTCAGCAGCATCCTGCATTAAGTAGCCTGCTCCATGACTTCCGTTTATCAGTGTGGTGTTGCAAATACAATATATACCAAATACTAAGAGGACTGGAGGGCACTCTCTAAGAGTCTGATTAAATGGTATGGGATATGGAAGCATCAGATATGTTTAGAGCTTTCTAGGAAATTCTAAAGTGTAGCCAATTGCTCTAGACAGATTATTTTACTAAAGTCACATGACTAGTCTTTGAGTTCAGTACAATAATCTGTTCTGTCCTATGTTTACAAATCAAGAAATGAGATTTAGAAAGATGAGACGATTGCTCCAGGAACAAAACTAAGATTAGAATTCACACAGTGTGACCCCAAAGAACTAGCCCATTACTGCCACACTGTGTGTTTCCAGAAGCCCACCAAACCACAGTGAAGAAGTGTTACCTCTCGCACAGAGGTTATTCCAAAATGAGTAGCTAATTTTCTTCTTTGCTTTTTATTTTCTTCCTCTCCATTCTCTGCTTTCCCAATCCATAGCCTGAAGTAGCCTTGGAATTCACTAAGAGAGAGAGGGATAGAAAAAATTTATAAGCATAGTGAAGATGGATCCAGGAAAAACAGTAACTTTGCTTTTGTCCAAGAATATACACCAGTTTCTGTAACATTGTTTAAAATAAAAATATAGAGACTGTATTGAAAATATCAGAAATCCAAGGCAATTTTTTTTAACCATCCTTTCTCAAGTTCAAGTCAATGTTTTATTTGCCAATGTCAATTTCAAGGTCTTCTCCATAAGCATCTATAGCTTTTATATTTGCAGCAGCATAATAATTAAATACAAATTTGTCTGCTCATATTATACCACATATATTTTTCTAGACAATCTGTCTTATAACACAATTAAGCAGCCTGATACAGCTCTAAAGATAATGGAGATAAATTTACCATGCAACTGGGCCAAAGATATTTTCATTAAAAATTTCTCTCTTAGAAAAAAAAAAATTTCCTTTTTGGGAAAAAAAAAGTTTAGCTTACTACTCACAGCTGATATAAACATTTATAACCATGTGATAGTCACATGACATGACATTTGTCTTTCCTTATTTGCTGCGGGCTCCTCAATGCACACACCCCTCACTCTCATGCCAGGCTCAAAGTAAAATCCCAGAAAGTACTTGGTGCATGGATAAATGATACTTTTCTTGACTGAACATTCAGGTTATAAAATAAGGTTCCTTAAGAGGAAGGACAGGAGACTCTAAAAGTAAGCCTGAGAAAGGCAGAGCAGAGCAACACAGATAGGAAGGCGGCCGGAAGCCCCATGGGAAAGGCCATCTCCATTGGCCAGGAGGAAACGTGTGGTTTCCTGAAGAGCACCCTGAAACGCCATCGACATTTGAAGCATGACACACATAAACCAAGTGTGACAGTCACACTTTGGAGTCCTCTGCAAAGTTATTTATATCCATAGGCTCCCCTCCCTGTGCACTGCTCTTCAAAAGGATACGGAGCTAGTGGCAGCTGCAATATAGAAAAATAAAGCTGCAGAGATTTGGCTAGGTATATGCTTCAAAGAACAACCCCTAATAATGCCCTTATGGGAGGATTCCTAAGCCAGAGTCCATTGAGCTGTGTGGACAAAATAATGGGACATCAGAAAATTTTGATCACCTTATAATTAGTGTGAGTTGTGTATAAGTATATGTTTGTGTGCACGCACACGTGTGCACCCACAAACACACATCTACCTGGAGAGCAGACTTATATTTCATCGGACATTTTCATCAACTCAAGTGAGGTGCTTCTAAATCCATCATCATTTGGTAGGATGTACTGGTAAGGATAAAAGACAAAAGGTGGAAGACAAGGGAACAAACCCTATACAAGGCCTTCTATTAACTGAGTGAATATCTGTGAAAGGATTGGGCATGCCCAGCACTTATAACGGCCTGTGCATGTTACCTCTTACTATTATCTCTACAACTGTATGCCCTGCACTTTCTGCTTTCAACATAATGGCCCTATGAGGTCAGTTTAAGTATCATATCCTACTTATGAAGAAACAAACTCAGAGTAATTGATTGAGCAAACAACTCAGGATCAGAGTGGTGGTATTCAGATATTGAACTCCAAAGCTCAGACTCCCACTCCATGGCCTGAATTACTGGGTGAGCTTTTGGTCTGTAGGCCACCTCTCTGGCTACTTGTCAGACTTTCATGTCTGAAGCTGCAGGGTCTTGCCCTTTCTGAGTCTGTCCATCATAACAGGCACTGAGCCTAAGGAGAGCTTAGTTAAGCCAAAATGTCAAGTTGCTTACATAATATGCTCTTAGTCATCCACTCAAATTCTGCATTGAATTCCTTCATTAATCAAAGGAATAAATCATACCTACTTGTCTTTTTGATGCAGCCAAAGGCCCAAGGGGAACAAATGTTCTCTAACAATCACAAAGAGCTCTAAATCAAATCTGCTATTTTCTGTTTTCAAAAGCCATGTTAAAAGCTGCTGTTAAACATCAGCTATTAAAGCATCCTTCTTTAAGCATTTGAGAATTATGACAACCGCATTGTTTTATGCACTTTCTATGTGTCTACACTTATCCCTCTGCCTCAAAAGAGTCAAGTGGTAACTTCCTGAGAGGCGAAACATTTCTTCCCGGTCACGCAGGAAACCCATGGAGAAGCAGGATTGAAACCAGATCTATTTGATGACAACATCTCCACTCTTTTTTTTTTTAAAAGATTTATTTATTTATGCCTACAAGAACTGGGGCACGGGCCAGAAGTGCTGGTGGTAGTGGTGGTAGGGGATGGTGGTGGTGACAGGATTCACTAGAGACAGAGTGAGCAGCAGAATAGGCAGATCAACTGAAATACACTGCTGAGGGGAGCAGTGGGCAGGTCAGGAGAGGTCTGCCATGCCACGCTGGTACCTCCCTGTCAAGGGATAGAGCTCATGCTGCACTGGCTATGGAGAGCTTCACAGTGCTGCACTTTAACCCCATTGTGCCACCATGGAGGGCCCAGCATCTCACACTTAATTACACTCCTCCTACCTGTCTACACACTGCTGTGATTTGTGGTACCTAAAGCTGATAACATCTCTCCTTGGTCTTCCCTGAAATTTGGTCCACCTCTTAGGAGGAGCAGTGGAAGCAAGTCAGGTGGACTTTATCAATAGAAGCTTCCAGTTTCAGGTCCAGTTCTGACAATGGCAAGCTCTGTCACCTCCAACACACCCCTTAATCTTTCAACACCCGTTTCTTCACCTATGCTTGAAGATCATTGCTCACGGTTGCACTATCTATAAGAAAATAGGAGCTGAGGCTAAAGTGTTAGCAAATGTCAGTTACTTTTACCCCCCTCCTCAGTCACACTGAGCAGTTAAGTTACCACTTGACTCTTGTGAGGCAGAGGGATAAGTGTAGACACATATCAGTTACCTTTACCCCCTTCCTCAGTTTTGAATTAGTGGATTCAAAAACTAGGGGGTGGCCCTTTCTCAGTTTCCCTTTTGCACTCAGCTTCAGGGTTTGTCTTGGCACTACCAAAGTTCCACCACCTCGACCACCAGCAGCTTCTAGTGCCTCTCCTCCCCCGTGGCTGCTCTTTTTCATTTCCCCAACCCCTCAGGCTAGTTTCTTTGCGTTACTTCTGACTCTTTCCTGGAAGACCTCCACTTCTCAGAGGGGGCGTCCAACACACTCAGCTGCCACCCCCTCCACAGGAGCAGCAACCGCTCACACCCTCCGCTCTCCAAAGTACACACCCGCGACACGAAGGCAGCTCTTCCGCCCCTACATGGGGGGGGGGGGCTGGGGTGCGGTGCTGTGACCCACGAGTTTAGATAGGAGGCGCTTGCAGTCTGGAACACCCCACCGTCGGAGGAGTTTCCTCTGCTGCAGCCTCTCCGCTGAGGAGAGCCCCGCGCGGAGTAAGCGGGTGCCCAGCATGCAGACGCCGGGGCTCTGGCCCTCCCCGCAGCCTCCACACCAGCCTGCGGCGACGCCCGCCATGAGACCACCGCTCTACCGCTGTCACAACGCCACCTCGGTGGAGAAGGGCAATTCGGCCACGATGGGAGGAGTGCTCTTCACTGCGGGCCTCCTGGGCAACCTGTTTGCCCTGGGGCTGCTGGCGCGCTCGGGGCTGGGGTCTTGCCCGCCACGCCAACCGCGCCCGCAGCCGTCGGTCTTCTACGTGCTGGTGTGCGGCCTGACGGTCACAGACTTGCTGGGTAAGTCTCTCGTGAGCCCCTTCGTGCTTGCAGCCTACTCGCAGAACCGGAGCCTGTGGGGGCTGGCGCCGGGGGGCGCGGGCAGTTCGCTGTGCCAAACTTTCGCCTTCTTCATGACCTTCTTCGGGCTCGCCTCGACGCTGCAGCTGCTGGCCATGGCCCTGGAGTGCTGGCTCTCCTTGGGGCATCCTTTCTTCTACCGACGGCACGTCACTCGGCGCCGCGGCGTGCTGGTGGCGCCAATCGTGGGGACCTTCTCTCTGGTTTTCTGTGCGCTGCCCTTCGCGGGCTTCGGGAATTTCGTGCAATACTGTCCCGGCACCTGGTGCTTCCTCCAGATGGTCCACGAGGAGCGCTCGCTGTCAGTGCTGGGCTATTCAGTGCTCTACGCCAGCCTCATGGCCCTGCTGGTCCTCGCCACCGTGCTGTGCAACCTGAGCGCGATGCACAGCCTCTACAGGATGCACCAGCGCCTGCGGCGGAGTAAGCGCAGCAGCCAAAGGGACCGCGCGGAGCCCGGCTCTGGCGAAAAGGAGGGGTTCCCCCAGCAGCTGGAGGAGCTGGATCACCTGCTGCTGCTGGCCCTCATGACCGTGCTCTTCACCATGTGCTCCCTGCCTTTAATTGTGAGTGTCTCGGCGCCCATGCGGAGGGTGATACAGCGCGTCGGGCCGTGGGTTCCAGGAGGGCAGGGCGGAGTTTGTAGCACCCGGCGTGAGAAATGCTCTGCCCAAGATCAGAAGGGTTTATTGCTGCGCTTCCCAAGTCAGGTTCACCTCACAATCTCCAGGAGACGTAACCCAATTTGTTAAGTGAAGAGAGGGAGGTTCAGAGAAAGGATGGGGGAAGACTGAGACGCATGGCGTCCCATGATCGCCACAGATCCTCTCCCGTTGATAAAAGCCCTCTGGGAACATCTCTGTTAATTTGGTGTCTCTGAACGCTAAGGACCAGAACTTGCTTCCTTCTGGGCTATGCCGGTCCCCTACTGTTTCCGATAGCGGCAGATGTCTTTATCTCAGTAGACTTGCCCCTGAGTTTAGTGGCATCGGGAAAGTGAATGGCAAGTGAGAGTTGTTGTATGAGATGTTGGTGTGGAAAGGGAATAGGGGGAGGTGTGATCCTGCCAGAGTGACCCTGTGATCCTGTGATCAGGATCCTGTGATTCTGGGAGAGGTGAGTAACTAACTCGTAGGTTTAGGTTTAGTATCGGGAAAGACTCCTGTAAACCCTGGGGAGTGGCAGGGGTTACTGCCACCCAAGCAGGAAGCGGGTGCTGGGCAAGGAGAGGCCAGGAGGCTGTTTGGACAGGCAGATATACTCGTTTCAGCAGATAGTGAAATTCGGGTAACCTGTCTGGACAAGTTTTGTCTCTATTTTGGCAAGTGGGGTGACATGAAAGCCATTATGGGAGGGGTTAATAAAAAAAAGCAAGCCATTATTTTGGGTTTCAATGTACTGGTGGGGGTGATGGTGGAGGTTGAATTCTCATTATTTTCTGAGACTGTTTCCTCCTGGGGATTTGGCCAAGGCTGAGAAAATGTCTTTGGTGTTCCCCCCTCCTTGCTCCTCAAATGTACCTGTTTAACAGGAACAAAGGTTAAACAAATTCATTGCCAACTCAATGCTTTTATAATCCTGAAACTTCTGTGAGTAGAAAAGTTAAGGTTCTTGTGGCCTTGTAGCAATTTGAGATGTTACATTCTAAAGTAAAGGGGAATGAAGGTCTAATGTGCAAGGAAAGAACTGTCTATAGCATCATCATTCCAGATGAGAATCAAAACTCCTGAAAATAGATAACTAAATCTATAGCTATATAAATAGCTAGACATGGACATAGGCATAGTGCTTTGCAGTGCTTCTTAAACTTTAGCACACAGAGAAGCATCTGCCAGATGTTAGAAAACAGTTAGTTAGTTAGTTGGGCTCTGTATTCCTGATTCAGACTTTATTTTGGGGGGGGGTGAAGAAATAAAAACAAAAGTTCCCAGGAGGGGGAAGTTGCTGGTGAAACTGCTTTTGGAAAGCTACACTCTGAAAAGTTGCAAAGCACAGTTCACAGGCCAAATGGGAACTGTCTGCTGTTTTTGTACAACCTGGGAGTTAAGAATAGTTTTCACAAATGACTATCAGCCATCAAGTTGACAACAGAGCACATGAACTCTGATTCCCAACTAAAGCCAAGGACTATTCCCAGAGGGGAAAAAGACTTTCATTCTTCTCTCTAGTAGACATGTGTTACAAAAAATTTATTTTCAGTCATCAGTATTACATTTTAAATTTCATCAGTAAAATTTTGATAAAATGTGGGAGTTCTGTTATGTATGTTACCAAGACATTTTGATTACCAAATACTAATGGGAAAGACACATCTCTAAAGGAATTTGAATAACTCATAGGGAATTGTGAAAGAAATATGGATTTGAAAATGTTTTTCTAAAATATTTGTAAAGCTTCAAAGATAAGCAAAGCAGACAGCATTCTTCACAGGAATATAATTTTCTGGGGTAAGAGCTTCAGTGTCAGACTTGGGTTTAAATCTGGCTTTTCCATTTACTACCTATGAGTTTCCTAACATTTTAGAGCTGTTTCCTCATCTGCAAAATGAGTATACACATACTTGCTCTGGAAGATAGTTATGAAGATTTGAAGTAATATATGTGTGCGTGTATGTGTGTGTGTGTGTATATATTTATATATATAAACTACCTAAAGAAGTGACTAGTCTCAAAAATTAGTATCACTTTTACCACTAACCATAACTTCCACATATTATTATCATTTCCTACTAGAAATAGAAAATTAACCAAGAAATATTATCCCTTCTGGAGATAGTATTATATTTCAAGGCAGTGGTTCTTTTTTTTAAGATTTATTTATTTATGCATAGAAGAACTAGGGTATAAACTAGAGGTGCAGGGGTGAGAAGATTCATCAGAGACAGAGTGGGGAGCAGAACAGGCAGATCTCCTGAAATATACAGGCAAGACAGCAGAGGTCTGCTGCCCCGTGTGGGTCAGCTCCTTGGCCAGGGGACTGAACTCAGGCCAAAGTGGTGACAGTGTTGAGATTTAACCTCTAGGCCACCAGGGAGGCCCTCAAGGCAATTGGTTCTTAAACTTGTTAAAAAATTAAACATTAATAAGAACCCACAGAGCTTTAATTTATGTAGATTATATCCATTTGTAGGTATCATATTAGAATTAAAAATAATACATTTTTTGAATAATGCAAAATGAGTCACAAAATAGGATATTCCTCATGTTTTTGCACAAGGAAAATTTTGGGATTGCAAACAATTTGATGAATGAGAATAAAATTACAAAGATTATAGCAGGTAAAACAAGAAAAGGCATATTGAAAACACAGGACTGAGGACAGGGTTTGAAAATGCACATAAATGTTTCTAAAACTGCTACTTTAGGAAGGCCTAGAAAGTACAAGGATGTCAAGCATGTGTTCCATTAGCCATGAGAGTAATTGACATCTCTGGTATCCTCCATAAAACTCACTGTGAGAGCATGCAGTGAAAAAGTCAAATATAATTTTTAAAAAACAGTTTTGAACCCTTGGCCTTATGGAGGGGATACTAACTAACCCCACACTTTGAAAATCACTTTTGAAATAGTGGACCTAGTGACTGGGAGAGAGCAGAGAGATTTTTAAAAATTATAGCATAAATATTGTGTTTCATTGAAGTAAAAAAATGTTTACTGATATAAGTATCTTTAAATGTGTGATGATGTTGGTCTAGAGTAAGAAACTTAACTAGATTGAATTGTCAAGTTTCCAACTTACAGCCCATTCTCTAATGTGCATAACATATTTTCATCAAATCTATTTTAACCTTAGAAAGCCACAATGTATTAAGGGTTGGTCGACTAGCAGGAGTGGATGAGAGAGGGCGTTCTTGTGTAGACAGATGTTATTGCTGAGAGAGTTAGAAGCCAGGGAATTAAGTACCAGCTTGTATAATTGTGTATGTCAAAATCCATGGAAGTCACAAAAGTGGCAGAGAATATCTATCATGTTTCAAGATAACTCACCTTTGGGTTTCTTTTTGGTGCGACCATACATCCAGCATAGGCTGTCAGAGGCATATAAGGGAAGGTAGGCTTCAGATGGGCCAGGGAAAAAGTTGGGAGGGGACTTAGAGGACTAGAGCAGAGGGTGAGGTCCAAGGTGTTGTAATGGACCAACTAGACAGAAGAAGGCGTTAGTATCAAGGGAGCTATTTCGAGCAGGGATTTAGATCTAGTCAACCTTAAGTCTCTAGTGAGTTGGTAAAAGAAACTTTTTTTTCATGAACTTCTACATCCAACAGAGGGTGCTCTTCTCACACCATTTCACTATGTAAACTGAAATACTTCAAAACTGCCTGACTTAAGGTTCTAAGGTTATTTTAGCTATTACAGGAGCGGCTTATAGAATATATTCTGAGAATGAAAAAAAGAATCCTCAGATGTTATTCAAAAATATAAACAGTGTTCAAACTGATATTTGAGAATAGAATTAATATTTGTAGCTTGATCACTTTTCATTGATCATTGACATGCATCAATAAATTTACATATTTTTAGTGAAATCAAAAAATTGAAATGAATTAAATATTAAGACCAACTTTAGAACAAATACTTCCAATACAATTCAAGTAACCTGAAAATATTAATAACCTAATAGTATGCTGTTGAATTAACCTGGATAAATACAACAGAGAAAATGGTTTGCTTAAATATTATAACTTCTAATCAGTTATCCGATCCCAATCAAGCAAGCATTCTCAAATAGTTGACAAATAGTTATCCAAACCATGCTGCTGTTTTCTTACAGAAAAGTAGCGCTTCCTAAGTGAAGTAAGATTATTTATTGCCCCATCAACCTTTAGATATTATAATGAATGTTTTCCTTTAAAACAGTATCGTGCTTACTATGGAGCATTTAAAGCTGTCAATCAAACAAATGGAACCACTGAAGAAGCTGAAGACCTCCTCGCTTTGCGTTTTTTCTCCGTGATCTCTATTATGGACCCCTGGATTTTCATCATTTTCAGAACATCAAAATTTCGGATGTTTTTTCACAAAATTTTCATAAGACCACTCACGTATCGCAGTTGGTACAGCAATTCCTGCCGATCTAAGATGGAATCCAATTTGTGATAGCATTCACACTCTGGTAAACTGAGGAATATATCGTGTTTTCATCAAAGAACCATCATAAAAGTTGTCACATGTTAAGGCCTTAAAAGTCATCTCCCACAACAAAAATTTACATGTTTTTTCAAAACTATTTGATGTATCTTAATAATGTATTATCTCTCTACTTATGAATCCATTCCGTGGATTTTTTAAATTTTGAGTTATTAATAGCAACAAAACTGTATTATAAACAATGTTAATGGTTTTAAAGTCATGATATTTTTTGTTCCTATATTTGTATTTTTTGTCCCTCCCTATTTTTTGCCAGACTTATGACCTCTTGGTCTTTATTTAAGTACAGTAGAAATATTGCTGTTTACAATTATATGATGGGTATCCGTAAATTTTCTTACCCCATTCATTTCTAGTGAAAACTGGATTCGATTCTTTTAGAGCATACTCACTCCAGTTTAATTATTTTTCTTGCCAACTTAGCTAAGTGTGCCTGACCTACAGATGCCAGGAAGAGACAGAGCAGGTCAGGTATTGGGAAGCCCAGCCCAGCTCTCCCCAGGAAGTGCACTTACTGTCTTAGGTGGACCAATGCTATCAGCACATAAATAGATGCTGGGCTCTGTGTGACTGTGCCTCACAACCCAGAGAAGTAAAACAGAATTTAATCTTCTGAAGCCCACTTTCTTGGGCATTGAAGCAGGGTGTCAAAAGGACTCAAAAGGACACAGAACTTGGGAGTGGTCTACAAGATGTTTCGATTTTTATAACCTTCACTTTATAGGTTTATCATGCTGATGGATTCTTTGGAGGAGGGATTTCTGCTTCTTTGAAAGGAAGCAGTGCGTCTTGGCCAGAGAGCCTTATTGACTGACGTTGGCATTGTGATGTGGCAGGCCACTACACAGCCAAAGGCCCAGCCAGGACTCAGTTGCCTTCCATTAAGGGTAGGGAAAGACTGTAACTTCTACCTATTACCAGCCATAGGCTGCTTTTTGTGGGGCAATAAGATCTTCTTGAGGTTCCTGAGAGCTGTATACTTTCGAAAGTAGAGTAGGATGTGATTCAGCTAGAGCCCAATTAAGCACTTTAATTATTCATTTAAATGTTTACAAAGGTTAGCAACACTGTGGCCAAAAGGGAAAAGTGGGGAAAGACAACCACAGCTGTTACATTCAGGAGACTCTAAACACAGTTTGTAGGTAAGAACTTTCATCTTTGATAAGAGAACAGATGGGAACACCGTCTCCTAGTTCCCACCACATGCACACTCAGAGATGGAGTTGGCTATGTCTGAATAATCCCAAAACCTGCATTCATCCATCCCTTCCTAAAACAGGAATATTTAATCTGTGTTAATTCCAGGTTAGCAGCAATCCCATTTTTCACCTCTGGTTATCTCAATAATGGTATTAACCTCGAAGTGTGGTGGTGGTGTGTGTGTGTGTGTGTTTGTGTGTTGTATAGCAAACTGTGAAATGACAAAGAATACACAAGTTACAACTGAGAGTATGAATAATGAAAAATGCAGTGTTTTCAAGGTTGAACTTCTGTCTGTTTAATGTATAAGTAGATGTGTTTTATGTTCGAGGAAGTTCATCTCCTTTGTGCTTGCCCTTTGCAAGGCATGTTATAATCATTGTCAAGACAATTTGAAAAAGTCCTGGATGAATTAATAAACATGATTTTATAATATTTTGCAGAAGAAATTACTTTCTTTAAATGAAATAAAAAGGTCTAGTTTTCTTATTTGAGTAAAAAATTGCCATCAACCTCATGTTCTAGTGGTTTAATAGTGTGAACTTTTATATACTATTCTCTGTGAGTTTATATTAAGCAAATTTACAAAGGCTTATGTAAGGATTTGGTAACATTATTTTTAAAATACAAAACATGCATATGTCATCCACATGAAAACTACATTGAGGTAAAAGTTAATTCTTTGATCATTTTGAAGGATATATTCCATCAGTTTACTAAACTGATACATACCTTGTGCTAGACAGAGGGCTAGGTGCTGAAGGAAAGAACACCTAAGCCTCAGTCTTGGCCGGTGAGTTGTTCATTGCTCCATGGGGGAGACAAACAGCTACACACTATATGAAATCCCAGGAGTAATGTGCATACACAGTCCTGATAGAAGAGGAGGCTGGACTAGAGGTGATGTGTAGGTTTGTCAAGAGAACTTCAAAGTGAGAAGATACTTGAGTCAGGCATTGCAATTATTAGGAATTTTGGTATCAGTTGAAAATTAAGGGCCTTCCCTGGTGGCACAGCAGATTGGAGCTCTGTACTGTGAAGCTAAGCCAAGTCGTGGACGCTTCAGTGCGAGTTGGATCCCCGTCCCAGAGGTGACCCACATGGCACAGCAGATATTTCTTGTCTAGCTTGCTGCTCTCCTCAGCAGTGTACTTTGTCAATCTGCCTGTTCTGCTCCCTACTTTGCTTCTAGTGAATCCTCTCACCACCCCACTTTACCTCTGGCCTGATCCCATTTCTGTATCCATAAATAAATAAAATCTTTAAAAAAGAAAAGAAAATCAGACAAAGGACACAAAGAGATCCTTTATACAAAAGGAAATACATAAAGTATAGAAAGAAATTCCAGCCTAATAAAAGAAATGCAAAATAAAAATCAAAGTATCAAGGACTGAACAGAAGGAAATTATGAATCTTAACAGAGACTAAAAGGAACACACACACATTCCTGGTGATTTTGTAATTGGAATATTTTTCCTTTTTTCATTTTTGAAGAGTTATTTACTATGCAAACAGCAAGCCAGAGGTGCAGGGGTGGTAAGAGGATTCACCAAGGACAGAACAGCAGACAGATCCACCAAGTACACTGTTGAGGGGAGCAGCAGGCAAGACAGCAGAGGTCTGCTGCATCATGTGGGCTGAGTGTCAAACTCTCACTGAAGTGGCTGCAGCTAGCTTGCAGTGCTGCTTCCTAACCCTTTGTGCCACCAGGGAGGGCCCCTAGAATACCTTCCATTGATAGGGAAACCAATTATATATATCTGGAGCATAAGAATTCTTTCTACTCTTCCAGTAATTCCATTCTAGAGTTCTTTGTAGTAATCAGCAAGATTGTCATAGTTATATACTAAACTCTTTTTTGTAGTATGATATACATCTGGAAAGGTATAAATCTTTACCTCTGATTTATATGCAGTGTTGTAATTCAATATTACCTTAAAAACACAACAAAAAGAAAACAAAAATAT